GACTCACCGTGAACACGAAATTCCCTCCTTCCAGATCACCCTGTACCTTCTCTCAATCCCCTCTCAATCCCCGCACCTGCTCGATAAGGTACGTGATGTGGTTGATGCCGTACTTCACCACAACCGGCTTCTTCGACTCAACGGTCTTGCCCTCCTTCGCCGCCTCGGCCGCCTTCAGCAGTCGCTCCTTCTTCGCCGCGCGGTCCTCGGGCCGGTACTTGAGCAGCAGCTTGAACAGCGACGTGGCTGGGGCGGGGGTGATGAGGGGCATTGCCGCAGGGGAAACGGGCAGGGGGCGGGAGGGGGAGAAACGGCAAAGACGGAAGAGGGGTTGAGCTCAGCCGCCTTCAGCAGTCGCTCCTTCTTGGCCGCGCGGTCCTCGGGCCGGTACTTGAGCAGCAGCTGGAACAGCGACGTGGCTGTTGGTGCGTGTGCGTGGGTTGGAAGTGGAGTGGGCAGGGGGGAGGGGGAAGGGGAGAGGGGAGAAGCGGCAGGAGACGGACCGGGGGGTAAGCCCTGCCGCCTTCAGCTGTCGCTCCTTCTTCGCCGCGCGGTCCTCGGGAAGGTTAATCAGCAGCAGCTTGAAGAAGGGGCCGGGGCCGAAGGAATAAGGGAAAGAGGAATGCAAGATGAAGGGGGAACAGCGCTGGGTGAGGGAGGGAAAGCACGCGCATACCGAGGCTCTTGTCGAGCGTCTTGGTGAACTGGTTGATGGCGGGCGGCACCTTGAGCCGCTGGTTGAGAACCCGGCGCTGCCGCTGCAGGCGCACGTACTTAGGCCACTTGACGAACCGGTGAAGGTTCTTCTTCGGGGGCAGCGACCCGCCGATTCCGAACGTCTTCGGGCGCCTCTCGAACAGAGGGTTGGTGACCTTGTCGGACTGGGCGCAGAGGAGGGGGGGAAGGGGGTAGGGGAAGGCGAAAGGGGGAAGGGGAGAATGGCGGGAAAGGAAAATGAGACGGAGTGGATGGCAAAGAACGCCTTGCCGGGCGGGAGGCGGGTGGGGTGGAATGGAATTATGAGACTTGCAGATTTCGAACGTCCTCACTCACCCCCTAGTCTTGCCCTTCGAGTAAAACCCTAGCCACTGGAACAAACAAACATTCGAGGAGCCGCTGCTCACCTTCTTGCCCCTAGAGGGAGCGGCCGCAGCGGGCTTCTTGACCTCAATTTGCCCTCTCGGGGTCTTACCCTTGGGCGCCTGTCAACACGGCACAACGCACATGCCATCATGCCACCATGCCACCACGACAAGCCACCCATCATGCCATCATGCCACACCATCATGTCACCATGCCAGCATGTCAACAGACGAGAGCTCGGAGAACCGTTAGCTAAGACAACAACAGGTCAGCTCAATTTTAACTGAACAGACGCCGCAGTGACCTGCGACGGGTCCCTATCGTGGCGATGAAAAGCGGAGTTTGGAGCAGAGATATGAAACCGCGATACTGGATCCACTTTTGGAAGTTCTAAAAAGCGGAGAATGGAGGAGAGGGATGCAATTGGGAACGCTGCTAAAGACGACGTGCGTTGAAGTAACCGCGCAGTGCCAACAAAAATGCGTTAACAACGCGCGACTTAGAGACGAAAGGCACGACACAACGCCGTGCAACAAGTCGAGACCCATAGCCTTAGCCTCAGGCACAGAACTACCACGGCACGCATCCTGCTTTCCACGGCAGGCGTCCTGCTTACCGAACTAAACTCTCAAACCAATTCCTCGTTTACAAACCTCAAAGACGGCATCCTGCGTTGACACCGAAGGCTGTCGCTCAAAGTTACGCATCTGTCCAACAGGTAAGATACCTAATCGCGAGAACACACACGACATACTTTTAGAATCGCCGATTCGTCGCACTCACGGGGCGTCGCATAAATGGACCGCGCTCGAGTACGACTTTCGCGTCACGCCTGGACACCACTTTGGAGGCGCTGCAACAGACTTTTCCCTCTCGCATCGACGCTGCTTTTCCCTAACTTACGGACGATCCACGTCTAGCGCGGCTTCAATCAGTCAAACGTATCATAAACCTAACGATCTCACGAAGCAGCTATACTGTTCTTAATCCGCTTCGTATGCAATCGACGGAATATAAGGGAAGGTCGAAAAGCGGGAGGGAGATCGGGCGTTTAGCGCAGAACTCTGTCATAGGCTCGCCTTACGAAGGGTAAGATGCGTGCGGCCATGCAGACTATGATATTAAGACCATCTTCCACTCAAACAAAAATATGAGCTGCTCGTCGTTTGCTGTAAGCGTGCTTGGACCCTATCGTCACGCCTCCTGCTGACTCAACGGAGGCAATCCGCTCTAGAGCGACATATGCACTGACAGACACGCTTTGAAGTTTCCTAAAGAGACCGCGTCTCGAGAAGATACACGAGTCTCGAGGCGCCTCGAAAGTCGAACATGCACGAAGCCGATCGTGTGGGGAATGCTGATGCGCATTCGCCCGAAGTTTAAGCGAAACTCTATGCCGCTCGGATCTTCAGCTCTGCGCACAATCTTGAGAAACACGTTCACGAAGTACGAAGCAGGATCACCACTTCTGTGTGGAAAACCCTAAAGTGCTGCTGCCAGTTCGCCGCCAACCACGCCTCGTCGATATCAGCTGCAGCAACCTGCCGAACACCATCTGTCCGTCCAACGCTTGTTAATCTAAACCAGGGACTGAAGCTGACCCGCCGTGACGTCCGACTAACTCAGAAAGTACACCATGGTCTAAACCTGAAGAGATTCGCAACCTCGTATGGTAGCCGACCTGTCGCGATGCCTAAGAGACTCGAGTAAGTAATCCCGCGATTCCCGGCACGTACCATTCTGTCGTGTGGGTGATTCCTGTCGGCCTCTGGTGACTAGTCTACAGAGGGAAGGGAAAAGGGAATGCGAGATGAAGGGAAGAGGCCTTGTAGGGCAGAGCCTTCGGAAAGGAAAGGCGGGGAAGAGAGGAAGGAGGCATAGGGATTGAGGCGTTCAGAAAATAGTTGAGGCAGAGAGGATGGACGAGTGAAGAGAAAACAAGGCGAGACGAGGGGAAGACAAAGGGTTTGGGTTGGGTTGGGTTGGGCTGGTTTGTGCTAGATACTCAAAATGTTGACTTCTGGGGACAGGAGGTGGAGAGATGTAGTGATGGGCGCGCGGGTACGGGTTGGGGAATGTGTGGACTGCGAGCGGAAGCGGAGGCTGTGGAGCGCGAGGAATGAGGGTGGTTGACAGAGAAAGAAAGCGGAAGGGGTTGTGAGAGGGTGGCGCAAAGTCATCGACTTTATGGCTGTTGCTTTTTAACCGGTACACATGAAGGCTCCATAAATCACACTCCCATTAGAACAGTGTTGACATCTGTTTATAATCCTGAATCAACAATTAAATTTGCCACTTATAACATTTCACGCAAAGAAAATATAATCGAGTTTCTTTTATTTGGATCAATAAAACCTGACAATTTTATAATATCTGAGCCTCCAAATGTAGCTTTACAAAACTCCAATTCGGGTAAATCAAAACGGCCGATACACAATCATTTTCCCATTTCAAGCTGTGTTTTGGGTATATTGTTGGGCCTATTCTGAAATCTCACCGTTTCTAGTATGTATCAAATCATGAAGCAGTTCTATCTTGGAAATTGAAATTGCTCAAATCTTGACGTCCTGCTGTTTTGTGCCATGCTGGTCTGGAACGAGGCAGACGACAGAGCGTATGTTAGCACTCCTCACCGTGAAATTATTGCAGCCCATTTCGCCACCCCTTACACGCCACGGGACGCTCACGGCCCCAGGCCGACATGGCTGCTCTCGCCTCGCCAGTCCGTCACGGACTAACGGCGGACCTTCGCGCTGAGTGCCGGCAATTTTCGCAGCGCGATTGGTGGACACGATTATTTGAGCAACACGTGCCATGCAGAGATTATGCGTGAGGTCTGAAGCGCCTCAAACACGATTATGGTAGCAACGCGTGCAATTCAAGGGTCGATGCGATCCGTTGCAGAAATTATGGGCGCCGCGAGGGCGCGCAGCAATTATTGCCGCGCAGCCGCTCCGGGGGGCACAGCGGGGAGGGGGAGGAGGGACAGGCTGTAGCTCGCCCAGCCTTACTCGGCGACGTCGGAAGCGCCATGGCCAGCCTCCAGCTTCCAGCCTCCTGCAGTGTCGTTTTCGTGGCATTTGAAGTCGATATATACGTCGTGGGACCTTTGATCAAGCATCGAACCCGACTCCTAGCCAGTCCGTCACTGCTTCAATCCGTCGCTGCTTCAGAGTCCGACGCTGTTGAATTCGATACCCCTGTCCATATATCGCCCAGCGAAATTACCGCTACGCCGCTTTCTGCTACGAGGCTAACCTAGTTCACCTACTCACCGGTCGCTACCGAACTATAATCCACTTCCGGCCCGAGCACCAATCAGCTGTGCGACCACTTTCAGTCCACGTCAGCATGACTCAGATGGGACATTCCAGGGCCGCAGCAGCCGCGTTGATCGCCGTCTCCATCCTCCTCGGTACGCCTCAGCCTTCCACCACCCTCCCTTTCAACATTTCTCGTGTCAAGCCCGCAGGCAGGCAGGCGTTTACGCCTCATGATGCTTGTGTGGAGTTCATAGCATGCGAGATTCAGTCCCCAGCGTCCCAGCGTCACGGAATGCGTCACGGAATGCGTCACGGATGCTCGTGTGGAGGGAGGAGTACACAGAATCCGCGATTCAGTCCCCAGCGTCACGCTCATTCCGTACACTTTCGCGAGCGATCCATACACTTTCGTGAGCCATCCGTGACTGAGTTTTGCGCTTCCCGTTCTGACACTGCCCTTCTCGTTCTGTCTTCGCCCTTCTCCGCCCGCCATCCTCGCAGCGATGGGAGCAAATGCGGCTGCTGCCTCCGACGTGGTTCCCGTGGAGCTGCGAGTGGGCACGGTGGTGCTCGCCGGCTCGCTCGTTCTGACCATTTCCTTTTCCTTTCTGTCTTCGCCCTTCTGACATCCTCGCAGCGACCGTCAGCATGTCGATGGGAGCAGATGCGGCTGCGGCAGCCAGCGACGTGGTTCCTGCGGAGGTGCGGGTGGGAACGGTGGTGCTCGTGGGCTCGCTCGCTCAACCCGAGCCCATCTACTTCGACTATAACCGCTGCGTGCCCGTGCCTGAGATCGCCAAGGGGGCGAGGAGCGGCGGCAGTGGAATGGCGGATGTGCTGGTGTGGTGGGACGTGTTTTCGGAGCGCACTATGTGCAACGCGGTGCAGCTGTTTGCGTCGCCTGACTGCTCGGGGGCACCCGCAGCAAAGTACCAAAACACAGCGTACATGAGGTGAGCACTGGGGGGGTACACGAGGTGAGCATTTCGAGGGTGAGCAGTCAGCGAGATTCATCTGATACGAGCTGGTTCTTTAGAATTCTCAAAAACCATTCCGGGGGTGAGCAGTCCGGGAGATTCATCTGTTTATTCTGACTGACGTGCATTGAAGCTCCTTCGTTTCTCCTGCTCGCCGGCACGTCTTGCTCGCATGCCACTTCCCCACGCACCCTTGCTTTCCCCCCATACATTCCTCAATTCCCTCCCAACCGTTCCCCATGCGCCCCTCCGCCTGTGCGCACATGTGAGCAGTACGTTCAAGTTGGGCGCATCTGTGAAGTCCATCTGCTGCGTTGAATTTTCAGTTGACTCAAAAGCCCCTCCCACGTGCCCCTCCCCACCCCCCTTCCCATGTGCCCCACTCCCTGTTCACGTGTGTGAGGAGTGCTTTCAAGATGGGCGCATCAGTGAAGTCCATCCGTTGCGTTCTCAGTGTTTGAAACACCTCAAAAGCCCCATGCGTCGATACCTACACGCCCTGAACCCTCCTCCCGTGCGCCCCTCCCGCTGTGCGCACATGTGAGCAGTACGTTCAAGATGGGCGCATCAGTGAAGTCCATCCGCTGCGTTCTCGGTGCGTGCCCTGCTGCAACCATGCTGCTGTCTGAGCCCTGGTGCACTTTCAGCCATACATGCACGTTCAGTCATACATGCACGTTCAGTCATACATGCACTTTCAGCCATACATGCACGTTCAGCCATACATGCACGTTCAGCCATACATGCACGTTCAGTCATACATGCACTTTCAGCCATACATGCACTTTCAGCCATACATGCACGTTCAGCCATACATGCACGTTCAGCCATACATGCACGTTCAGCCATACATGCACGTTCAGCCATACATGCACGTTCAGCCATACATGCACGTTCAGCCATACATGCACGTTCAGCCATACATGCACGTTCAGCCATACATGCACGTTCAGCCATACATGCACGTTCAGCCATACATGCACGTTCAGCCATACATGCACGTTCAGCCATACATGCACGTTCAGCCATACATGCACGTTCAGCCATACATGCACGTTCAGCCATACACTGCACGTTCAGCCATACATGCACGTTCAGCCATACATGCACGTTCAGCCATACATGCACGTTCAGCCATACATGCACGTTCAGCCATACATGCACGTTCAGCCATACATGCACGTTCAGCCATACATGCACGTTCAGCCATACATGCACGTTCAGCCATACATGCACGTTCAGCCATACATGCACGTTCAGCCATACATGCACGTTCAGCCATACATGCACGTTCAGCCATACATGCACGTTCAGCCATACATGCACGTTCAGCCATACATGCACGTTCAGCCATACATGCACGTTCAGCCATACATGCACGTTCAGCCATACATGCACGTTCAGCCATACATGCACGTTCAGCCATACATGCACGTTCAGCCATACATGCACGTTCAGCCATACATGCACGTTCAGCCATACATGCACGTTCAGCCATACATGCACGTTCAGCCATACATGCACGTTCAGCCATACATGCACGTTCAGCCATACATGCACGTTCAGCCATACATGCACGTTCAGCCATACATGCACGTTCAGCCATACATGCACGTTCAGCCATACATGCACGTTCAGCCATACATGCACGTTCAGCCATACATGCACGTTCAGCCATACATGCACGTTCAGCCATACATGCACGTTCAGCCATACATGCACTTTCAGCCATACATGCACTTTCTGCCATACATGCACTTTCAGCCATACATGCACTTTCAGCCATACATGCACTTTCAGCCATACATGCACTTTCAGCCATACATGCACTTTCAGCCATACATGCACTTTCTGCCATACATGCACTTTCAGCCATACATGCACTTTCTGCCATACATGCACTTTCTGCCATACATGCACTTTCTGCCATACATGCACTTTCTGCCATACATGCACTTTCTGCCATACATGCACTTTCTGCCATACATGCACTTTCTGCCATACATGCACTTTCTGCCATACATGCACTTTCTGCCATACATGCACTTTCTGCCATACATGCACTTTCTGCCATACATGCACTTTCTGCCATACATGCACCTTTCTGCCATACATGCACTTTCTGCCATACATGCACTTTCTGCCATACATGCACTTTCTGCCATACATGCACTTTCTGCCATACATGCACTTTCTGCCATACATGCACTTTCTGCCATACATGCACTTTCTGCCATACATGCACTTTCTGCCATACATGCACTTTCTGCCATACATGCACTTTCTGCCATACATGCACTTTCTGCCATACATGCACTTTCTGCCATACATGCACTTTCTGCCATACATGCACTTTCTGCCATACATGCACTTTCTGCCATACATGCACTTTCTGCCATACATGCACTTTCTGCCATACATGCACTTTCTGCCATACATGCACTTTCTGCCATACATGCACTTTCTGCCATACATGCACTTTCTGCCATACATGCACTTTCTGCCATACATGCACTTTCTGCCATACATGCACTTTCTGCCATACATGCACTTTCTGCCATACATGCACTTTCAGCCATACATGCACTTTCTGCCATACATGCACTTTCTGCCATACATGCACTTTCTGCCATACATGCACTTTCTGCCATACATGCACTTTCTGCCATACATGCACTTTCTGCCATACATGCACTTTCTGCCATACATGCACTTTCTGCCATACATGCACTTTCTGCCATACATGCACTTTCTGCCATACATGCACTTTCTGCCATACATGCACTTTCTGCCATACATGCACTTTCTGCCATACATGCACTTTCTGCCATACATGCACTTTCTGCCATACATGCACTTTCTGCCATACATGCACTTTCTGCCATACATGCACTTTCTGCCATACATGCACTTTCTGCCATACATGCACTTTCTGCCATACATGCACTTTCTGCCATACATGCACTTTCTGCCATACATGCACTTTCTGCCATACATGCACTTTCTGCCATACATGCACTTTCTGCCATACATGCACTTTCTGCCATACATGCACTTTCTGCCATACATGCACTTTCTGCCATACATGCACTTTCTGCCATACATGCACTTTCTGCCATACATGCACTTTCTGCCATACATGCACTTTCTGCCATACATGCACTTTCTGCCATACATGCACTTTCTGCCATACATGCACTTTCTGCCATACATGCACTTTCTGCCATACATGCACTTTCTGCCATACATGCACTTTCTGCCATACATGCACTTTCTGCCATACATGCACTTTCTGCCATACATGCACTTTCTGCCATACATGCACTTTCTGCCATACATGCACTTTCTGCCATACATGCACTTTCTGCCATACATGCACTTTCTGCCATACATGCACTTTCTGCCATACATGCACTTTCTGCCATACATGCACGTTCAGCCATACATGCACTTTCTGCCATACATGCACTTTCTGCCATACATGCACTTTCTGCCATACATGCACTTTCTGCCATACATGCACTTTCTGCCATACATGCACTTTCAGCCATACATGCACTTTCAGCCATACATGCACTTTCTGCCATACATGCACGTTCTGCCATACATGCACTTTCTGCCATACATGCACTTTCTGCCATACATGCACTTTCTGCCATACATGCACTTTCTGCCATACATGCACTTTCTGCCATACATGCACTTTCTGCCATACATGCACTTTCTGCCATACATGCACTTTCTGCCATACATGCACTTTCTGCCATACATGCACTTTCTGCCATACATGCACTTTCTGCCATACATGCACTTTCAGCCATACATGCACTTTCTGCCATACATGCACGTTCAGCCATACATGCACTTTCTGCCATACATGCACTTTCTGCCATACATGACATGCACGTTCTGCCATACATGCACTTTCAGCCATACATGCACTTTCAGCCATACATGCACTTTCTGCCATACATGCACTTTCTGCCATACATGCACTTTCTGCCATACATGCACTTTCTGCCATACATGCACTTTCTGCCATACATGCACTTTCTGCCATACATGCACTTTCTGCCATACATGCACTTTCAATGCCATACATGCACTTTCTGCCATACATGCACTTTCAGCCATACATGCACTTTCTGCCATACATGCACTTTCTGCCATACATGCACTTTCTGCCATACATGCACTTTCTGCCATACATGCACTTTCTGCCATACATGCACTTTCTGCCATACATGCACTTTCTGCCATACATGCACTTTCTGCCATACATGCACTTTCTGCCATACATGCACTTTCTGCCATACATGCACTTTCTGCCATACATGCACTTTCTGCCATACATGCACTTTCTGCCATACATGCACTTTCTGCCATACATGCACTTTCTGCCATACATGCACTTTCTGCCATACATGCACTTTCTGCCATACATGCACTTTCTGCCATACATGCACTTTCTGCCATACATGCACTTTCTGCCATACATGCACTTTCTGCCATACATGCACTTTCTGCCATACATGCACTTTCTGCCATACATGCACTTTCTGCCATACATGCACTTTCTGCCATACATGCACTTTCTGCCATACATGCACTTTCTGCCATACATGCACTTTCTGCCATACATGCACTTTCTGCCATACATGCACTTTCTGCCATACATGCACTTTCTGCCATACATGCACTTTCTGCCATACATGCACTTTCTGCCATACATGCACTTTCTGCCATACATGCACTTTCTGCCATACATGCACTTTCTGCCATACATGCACTTTCTGCCATACATGCACTTTCTGCCATACATGCACTTTCTGCCATACATGCACTTTCTGCCATACATGCACTTTCTGCCATACATGCACTTTCTGCCATACATGCACTTTCTGCCATACATGCACTTTCTGCCATACATGCACTTTCTGCCATACATGCACTTTCTGCCATACATGCACTTTCTGCCATACATGCACTTTCTGCCATACATGCACTTTCTGCCATACATGCACTTTCTGCCATACATGCACTTTCTGCCATACATGCACTTTCTGCCATACATGCACTTTCTGCCATACATGCACTTTCTGCCATACATGCACTTTCTGCCATACATGCACTTTCTGCCATACATGCACTTTCTGCCATACATGCACTTTCTGCCATACATGCACTTTCTGCCATACATGCACTTTCTGCCATACATGCACTTTCTGCCATACATGCACTTTCTGCCATACATGCACTTTCTGCCATACATGCACTTTCTGCCATACATGCACTTTCTGCCATACATGCACTTTCTGCCATACATGCACTTTCTGCCATACATGCACTTTCTGCCATACATGCACTTTCTGCCATACATGCACTTTCTGCCATACATGCACTTTCTGCCATACATGCACTTTCTGCCATACATGCACTTTCTGCCATACATGCACTTTCTGCCATACATGCACTTTCTGCCATACATGCACTTTCTGCCATACATGCACTTTCTGCCATACATGCACTTTCTGCCATACATGC